CATAGAAAAAAAAAGTTAAAAATAGAAAGCTACAGTCCTTTTTTGAAGTCACAGAGGATCCCACTCTGATGTATAGACATTAGAGCCAGAAAAAGACTTTGAAGTGACCAGTGAAGCTCCTTGTCTCACAGACAGGGTGATGGAGGGACAGAGGGGAATCGTGTGTCCAAGCATACTTGGGGTGCTGTAGGTGGCTGATAAGAGTGTCGGTGGAGGTGGTGGTTAGCGTTTGGAGTGCCCCAATCTTGTGACACTAAACATTTATTGTTATACTAACCCCACTGCCCACTATCAGGAGGTTTTAACTTTTCTTATTGTGTCTTAGTCTCCATGGCACCCATACACTGTTCTCCCCATGTCCCGGCATCGTTCCTCTCCCACATCGATGTGTGGCTCTGTGTCATGGGTGTGGGCCTGCCTCTTCTCTCTCAGAATGACCACTGTTTCATGCTTGGTGAGCCACGTGGTATGCCGAGCTGCCATCTCTGACCTGGAGAAAGGATACCCTTACTATCACAGGTGGGGCATGTCATGGGACAGACTTCCTGGTTTTCCTTGGCAGAGATATTTTTCTCATTTTTTCCTCTCCTTCCTTTTCTTTTTCTCTCCCTTTTAGATTTCTTCTCTTTTCCTTTTCTTTCTCTTGCCTCACTTCTGCCTTAGATCTACCATGGGACCCAGGGAACTCTGGAGCCAAAGAGGTAGCCTACCCTGAAGATCAGTGAAAGCACGTCTTCACTCGATAGCTGGCACTCACGAAGCTTTTCATACAACCCCACAGTGTGAGCTTTTTACACGGGCTATCTCTTTTAATCTTTGCAATTCTTTACCTATCAGGCATTACCATCATTATCTGCATCTTACAGGTGAGAAAGGGAGGCTCATGCAGATTAAGAAACTTGCTCAGGGCCACACAGGCTGTACATGCAGAGTAAGGGCATTCTCACGCCAAAATTCATTTTTAGAGCCAAAAACGTACCATGTCTCAGGAGAAGCAGCCTGGATCTCTTGTCTGTTTGGCTTTTAACTCACGCTGACCTGAACTTTCTGGATTTGAGTAACTCTCAGGCCTGTGGAGCCCGGTTTCTGTGAGTGGATTTGGCCAGCCACCTCTGGGGAGGTGAACCCTTGCTGGGGGGTTTTGGGAGGTACACTTTCTTCTCAGCCATTCCCATTGTAGTAGTTTCTTGGGTCTGCCTTAACGAAATACCACACACTAGGAAACTTAAAACAACAGAAGTTTGTACTCTCATTGGTCTGGAGGCAGAAATCTGAATTCAAGGCAAGGGCAGAGTTAGTGTTTTCTGGTGCCTCTGAAAAAGAAACCATCCTCAATGTTGGAATTCACTTAGAGTGGTTGGCAAAATATTAAAGATATATTGGGAAAAGTTACAGATTATTCTCACATCTTTTGGAAGGCCGAAACGTTTTATTGGGGCAGGCTAGAGGCAGCTGGCCGGTCCATTAAGTTAGGGAGAAAATAGAGAAGAGGCTTTTCCCAGCTTAAGTCTGTTTACCCCACATCCCTTTGTCTCTACTCTGTTTACTCATGTTAACTTTGTGCTGGATGGCCCTCACCAGGGAGGATCAAAAGGGAATTACCCGTTAATAGTATTTTCTCTGGACCCTGAACCTAAAGTTTTTATCATTTGTAAAACCACTCTTTTAACCATGTTAATTATCTACAAGTGTGTTGACTTAGAACCTCTGTTATGAATAAATGTGTGGATGTACATGGGGTCTTGCTGGATTGCTTGCATTTTGTCTTCTGAAAGCAGCCTACGGCCATCCCTAGCCCACTTGTATTGCTGTCATGGTGTGAGAGTGCATTCATTCATTTGTCTGTGGTTGAGTCAGGTCTGCAGGTCAGACTTCCACAGGCGGTGGGCGAGGTCTCACACCTCCCCATCTTCTGGCGGCTCCCAGCAGTCCTTGGTGCCCTTTGGCTCCCAGTTGCATCCCTCTGGTCTCTGCTTCCTTGGTCACGTGGCATTCTTCCTATGTGTCTCTGCATCTCCAATCTCCTCCTCCATATGAAGACACCAGTCATTGGATTTAGGGCCCACACAGATCCTGCATTAAAAAAAGTTAAAAAAAATTTTATTTGGAAATAATTATAGATTCACAGGAAGTAGCGAAGACAGGATCTAAAACACAGAGGTCTGATGTGCCCTGCACCCAGTTTCTCCTGATGGTTGCTTCTTCTGTGATTACAGTACAATATTAAAACCAAGAATTTGACATTGACAAAATAAGTATATACAGTTCTATGTCATTTTATCACACGTCTAGATGTCTATAACTACCACTGCCATCAAGATACAGAATTATCCCATGATTACAAAGATCTCCCTTTATATTCTCATCTACTCTTCTTTCCCTACCACCCTAACCCCTGGCAACCCGAATCTGTCCTCCATCCCGATAATTTTGTCACTTCAACAATGTTACATAAAAGAAATCACATGGTATGTGACCCTTTGAAACTGACTTTTTTCACCCAGTAGAAAGTCCTTCGGAATCACTCCAGTTGTTCTCTGTATCAATACTTCATTCCTCTTCATCGTCCCATAGTATTCTACGGTATGGATATATTACAATTTGTTTGGCCAGTTGCCTATTGAGGGATGGGTTGGCTGTGTCTAGCTTTGGCCCAGAACAAATAAAGCTGCCGTGAACAATCATGTATGGATTTCTGTGGGGACGTAAGTTTTTATTTCTTGGGGGCAAATTCCCAAGGATTACAATTCTTGGGTCATATGGTAGGTGTCTTTTGTTTAGTTTTTCAAGAAACTGACAACAATTTTCTAGCATAGCTATACACTTTTATATTCCCACCAGTAATATATGAAGGATCCATTTTCACTGCGTCCTCACGAACATTTCAGTATGACCTAGTTTTGACTTCATTACCTCTAAAAAGACCCCATTTCCAAATAAAGTCACATTTATGGGTACCAAGAGTTAGGAGCTGTGCATACCTTTTTGAAGGATACAATTCCACCTGCAGCACCTGTCTTCACTTGTTTGGGTTATGGGTGGGTCTTGCTTCAGAGTGTTGCCTTCTGAGAAGAAGGTTTGAATTCATAACTGGATTATGCCTGACTTTCATTGTTCAATTTGGCCCCCAGGGATGAGTGAACACATTCATGTCATTTGAAGGGACATCAATGGGTCTTTCTGACCCCTACTCAAACCTCTAACATTTCCAAGATTTGATAATCATCAATATTCTCAAGAGACAGGAGGGCAAGGTGCTTCCTTATGCAGTTTTTCTAGGACTGGCCTTCCTACTGTCCCAGTACCGACGGGAAAGGAAAGCAGTGCAAGACAGAGGGATTGCCAGTCAGTTGAGGGAAGGGATGCTGTGTTATTTACTTCTGAACCCTCTTCAGAGTGTAGGTGGAGAGAGGTGCTTAGTAAGGTGTGTTGGTTGGATGAGTGGCTGAGGGCCAGGGCCAGGGTGCCCACAGAATGAGGAAGAGTCAAGGTTGGGATTATATGTGCCCCTCCCCCTTCCCAAACATTTGAGCTTTCATACATGGGTTTCCAGTATCTGGGCAGGGTTAACTCTGCTCTCTGCTGCCTTGCTGAAGGTCTGCTTCATTCCATTTCCATGTACGTGTGCTCCTAGTTAGCCAAACAGGGCAGAGATGTCAGGAAAATAGCAGGTCTGTTGTTTTGTCTAGCACCTTGAGCCCTGGAAGGCAGCCTCATTCAGGGTTCAAGAGGGCAGGGTTAGGCAGGCAGCTATTTGATCGCAGGCCCCCACTTATCAGCTATGTGGTCTTGACGTGTTACTTATTTCTCTCCACCTCTACTATCTATTAACTGGGCATAAGATGTTCTTTATATGAAGTTATTTTGAAGCATAATGTGTATATAGAACAATGCACGGATCGTAACTGCACAACCCCACAATGAGGAACAGAACATTATGAAGACTCCAGAAGGCCATTCTTGTCTTCTCCCAGTTATTACCTCACCCTACCTCCAGCTAAGAGTAATTTCTATCCAAATTTCTAATTTTATTTTTACTTGGTTTTGAACTTTATATGGATGAAAATATACAGAACATATCTTTTGCTTTGAGTTTCTCTTATGTAACACCATGTTTATGAGATTCATCTGTGTGAGTAGGTATAGTTGTAGTTTGTTAATTCTCCTTATTGGCTATTCTAATGTATAAACACCACAGTTTAATGTTTAACTACCCATTCAATTGTTGGACATTTGGGCTATTTCCAATTTTTGGACATTTGGCTTTCGTAAATAAAGCTGCTTTGAACATTCTTGCACAGTTTTTTGTGGGTGGGGACACCCAGTCATCTGGAAGTGGGATTGCTGAGTTACAGAATATATTTATCTCTCAGCTTTATAGAACGTTTGTAACATTTTAATGAATGTTATTAACCTCACAGTATAGTGTGGGTTAAATTAGGTTGTGGAAAATACTCAATAAGGCCCTTGGCAGACAAGTGTCTGTCAGTACGTGTTTAAAAGTGTAAATAAGGCACAACATTCTATTAAGTCTAAGTACCATCAGGGACTTAAACAATTTCCTATTGTTTGTTCATTTAGGTTGCTGTTATCGTGTTGTTTTTTTCTATCGTGATGCAATGAATGATTTTCTTTATGGCAGTTTTCTTCTTTCGAAAATTTACTTTGGTAGATTCTCAGGGAAGATTGAATGGAATCAAAGGATATATGACTGTAAGAACTGTCATTGTTAAAAAGGACTTTGAGGACTTGCTGAAAAGGGGAAAGCAAGGAAGAAAGTCTCTCCTACCATGGCTCAGGGGACTGAGATGTGAGGACAGGGGGCTTGTGGGTTTGAGGGAGGAGTGTCTACAGAGGATGATACGGTGACATAGAATGAAAGATAATTTTTATAAATGGTGGTATGCCTTAGGACAACTACATATTTAGTCCCTTATAAGGGAAATCGAATAGTTGGAAAAAACAATGGATAATAACCATTAAATGAAGAAAGAGAAACCACATGTGCAAAGATTCACTTTATTTATTCATTATCCTCCAATATTAGCATAATTAAAGCCAAGAAGGAGGAGGGGAATGAGGTGAAAGATGAGCTGGAGGACAGCAATAGGGGTAGGTCCCTTGAGGGAAAAGGGCCAGAGGCCAAAGGATGGGAGGGGGAGAGGCTAGGACTGAGGAGCAGGTGGTGGGCCTGGAGCGCTTCGCCCTCTAACACTCTCCTTTACGGAAGCTCTTCGTGAGGGGCGATCTCAAGCCTTGATGGGTGACCTCACAGGCGTAGACGTTGTGCCTCTGGTATTCTGTGCTGCTCAGCGTCAGGGTGCTGCTGAGGCTGTAGGTGTTGTCCTTGCTGTCCTGCTCTGTGATACTTTCAAGAATGTTATCCTTCGGCTGGACGACGTCATCCACCTTCCACTTCACATTGACATCTTTGGGATAGAAGCCATTCAGCATGCACACAAGAGAGGCAGTTCCAGATTTCACCTGCTCCTCAGATGGCTGGAAGATGAAGACGGATGGCGCAGCCACATCTCCTGAGGAAAGAAGCAAAGAGGATGGTGTTTAAAGAACAAAATTCTGCACTTGGGTGTGTTTTTTGAGATAATCACAGAGCATGTTAGGGACAGACAGAAAACAGCATGCTTATCTTGGATAATTATAGCAATGAGGCCAGGAAGCATATTTAAAATGGTGATTTTGAGTTTCTTCCTAGCTACCCTCTCTTCCTTAAGAAAGTTCTCAATTGTTTTTGGTGGAGCTCTCTGCAGCTGTTCCGAGGTCTCTGTATGCTTTTCTGCCCTTATTTTTCTTTCATTCAGCTGCCTCTTGCAGTAAACTCAATGCTTTAAGCAAAGAAAGGCCATGTCATCTGACCCCCTCAGAGTTTAGAAGTCAGAACAGGTCTGTAGAAGACCAGGCATTGGCTGAGTCAAGGAAAGTCTCTGTTTGCTTTTATTTCTCCTGTGCCTCTTCTAGGACTATGATTCGATAGCAAGCTCCCAGGGGTTACTCTGGCTGGGCTGAGCTAAAACCTCCCGGTAGAGCAGGCCCTGAGCCCGGCCTCTGTGCCTTGGTGATGCCAGCCTCTCCACCTTCTGACTGTGCCAGCAACTCTTTAAGCCCTCCCCAAGGCTTCAAGGCCTGTAACCATATGTGACAATTTTTAGCCATGCCAGGAGAGGTCAACTGTAATCTTGGCCACCTGCCTAAGAGGAAATGGCTAGCTTCACTTCTGACCCTCAGCAACTGCCAGATGGCCGCTTGGAAATCCCCCTCCACGGGGATTCCAGCCGTTGAGTGGGAGAGCAGCAGTTAAAATGAAAAATAAGAATCTTTTGCCAAGAGAAGTCAACAGATAGGGAGAATTCAACAGATACAAGGAATAGCTTTTTTTTTTTTTTTTTTTTAAGCTAAATTCACTGTTAGCCAAGCAGTTTAACATGAAAGACTGAATGAACTTTTATGTTTGATATTTTCTTGTCTTTTAACTTTTATTACTATTTTCTTTCCAGATAATTATATAAAATAACCATGGTAGTAAAATAATGTGATCATTAGAATACAGGCAGGGAAAAACATGCTGTGAAGATACTCCTACCTGGGTGAATTCTTGATAGCGTCACATTCTTCATCTGGCATTTAAACATTTAACAACTAATGTATTTGATATGAAAATTATTTCAAGATATCTCATTAGCTTTTAATAGAGTTTTAAAAGTCTTTAAAAGAGTTTTTAAAAAGCTCTAAAATCATTTTGAAATAGTTTAAGACAGTTAGATAGTTTTGAATCGTTGTAAACTAGCTTTAACAGAGCTTTTAAAGGTCCCTGAAATAGTCCAATTGTGTTGTTGCACACCAGAATAATCCTCCTTAAATATCACTTTTGCAATCAGCTGGGATAAACAATGGCAACACAATGACAAATCATTAAACTATTTTAGAGGTTATGAAATTAAAATATTCAGATTAAAATTTTCCTATCACAGAATTAAGGTACTGAAAAATATGTTTTTTATTAATCACATTGCTATAGGTTTAGATATTTTGTACAACTGAAACATAATCATACACGGGCAGTTACATTTTTGAAAATTAAAAACATGGTCCCAAAGATATCTTATTTTTAAATCAGTTAATATACCTTAATGGTATTTAATGCCATTTAATGCCAGATTCAGTCAAAGTGAATTGATCAAGCCCTGAGTGGCCAGGTTATGGGTGTGAATTTTACCCTGAAAGAATTACATATTTCTTTTTTTGGATTGAGCTTTTGTTATTTGAATACGTTTGATCAGAGGATATTGAAATAATTAAATAGCACTGAAAAAAAAAAGCTTTAAATTCTTTACAATCCCCTAATGGAAATTTTCACTAATGAGATATCATAATGAATGTGACTTTTCTTTCTGAAGTCTCTAATAAGTTAGTCTTTTCACTGGTTTTCCCAGCTTAGTGCCTATTAGATTTCTGTTCTCTTTCCGTTAGTGATACTATTTGTATCACTGTGCGTCAGGAAAGCTGCCTATGGCAGCGTTAATCCAGCAGATGCGGGGTGGCCGTGGCCGTTAGCGGCAAGGCGGCTGCCCCAGGAGCGCGGTGTCACGGCCACCAAAGCCATTCAATCATGAAAGACCGCGGCTTTGTCTACAGCTCGTGGTGCCGTGGCCTTCTTGGCGGAATAAAAATGTAGACAAGTACTAACAGGGGGTAATAAAAGAATATACTCTTTAAAATCTTTCTTATTTTTTTATGGACCCCTGATCATTTAAAAAAATGCAAGTATTTACTTTTTTTTTTTTTTTGCATTTAAATACTTTTCTTTGAGCTTTTGGGAATAACCACTTTTCCACCATTACAATACAAGATAATTTCATGTTTAATCTAATGTACAAATTGGAGTTTTAAAAAATGAGCTCTATCTGTGAAGCCCTTATTCATATAGAATGTGTCGTTTTGAGTTTATTCCTCATGCAGACTCTAAAAACGACATTGCTGCTGATTTTCAAGTAAATTGCCTCTTCTATATGGCAAATAGGTACACTTTACTTTTTCCTGATTTTTCTTAGGGCATGCTATTGATTTTTATAGTTGTCTGACAAAATAATTTATCAAACAAAAGGGAGAAAACAGACTAAGAAATATATTTTTCTACTTTTCTGTATTATACATAATCAGCAACAGCCAATACAATATTTGGCAAGAGTGAACAAAAATGAATTTACTTTTGCTCTGTAGAAATTCAAGTGTTCCTTTTTAGTTACACTATATATATATATATATATATATATATATATATATATATATAATTTTTTTTTTGCTTTGTGTCATTGAGTTTAGAACAATTTAATCTTTTTGTCTCCAAATCCATTTTTGAAGCTGAGTTTAACTTTGGCAATCCATGGTAAATCTGAAATGCCCTCAGTTACCCATCTTTACAAAACTCATATTTAAACCTCTAAAAGTCAATACTGACAATCAGACCTGAATTTCAGAAAGCAATAGCGAAAAATTACTTACGTTTAATCTCCATTCGGGTCCCTTGGCCGAAGGTGTTCCACAGTATTAGCTTAATTACTTCCCCCTCAACAAATTCTCTTTTTGACTTTAATATCACTAGCCTGACTGATGCAGAGAAAATCTTGCGATTTAGATGCCTCATTTAACTGACCAGCTCTTTGCTGTTCCTTAAGATGAACTGATTTTCAGACCCTTATCCATCTGACTTTTTGAAAGGATCTGGTACTCTTTGGAATTGACCTGAGCTAATCTCTCAAACATAAAAACTCCCCAAATTTACAACCTTATAAGAAAAAGCATTAGAAAAGTGCACTTACGTTTGATGTCCACCTTGGTGCCTTGGCCGAAAGTGATCCACAGTGCTGAATCTTACCCTCTCCCCTCAACGAAAACCTCCCTTGAAGCCAATCATGTGAGATAGGCTGCTCATTCAGAGAAAAATCTAGCTATTTATTTTCCATTTCCCCCATGAATCCAGTGATTTGTCTATTTGCTCAGCTTTTTAAGTTGATTTTCTAGTGCCCCGCTATTTACTTCTAGGTTTCCAGGTTTATTTAACCAAAATATCACAAAACTTGCACAAATGATTCAATGGCACCAAAATCTCACAAATAATTGAGACAGAGGTACTTACGTTTGATTTCCACTTTGGTCCCGGGGCCAAAAGTATGTCACAGTGATTCAACTTAACTTCTCCCCTTACAAAACCTCCCTAAAAGGTCAGCAAGCCTCCTTCCCTCAATGAAGTTATTTGGATTTAGAAATCTTAAAACTTAGCCACAAGCTAGCCTACTGTGGAACATTTTCCCCTCCTGTGTACTTAACCTGGGAATGAAGTTGTGTTAGATCCCTGACATCCAACTAATGAAAATCCACACAAAGAAACACAAAGCAATCCAATTAGACAGAAACAGTGAAGAATCAGCAGAAAAAAGTACTTACGTTTGATCTCCAGCTTGGTCCCTTGGCCGAAAGTGTACACACACTGGTTCCTCTTAACCTCCCTCCTATACAAAAACTACCTTTCTGACAATTGACCAAGGCTCTGTCCAGAACATGTTATGTTCCCCAGGACATTTTTGAAGCTACACCTAGACGAGTTATTCTCACCCAATGACCGAATCTTGCTTACTCTTCATAGAAAATGTACAATCAATTCTCGAGTTTGCCTACAGACTCCATCTCCACATTTTCCCTGAAGGATGTCACAGTCTGACTGCAGAGTCAGCTTACAGATCACTTCTTAGACACAGAGTACAGAACACACAGACAACCAAGGAAGGAAAGTTTAAATTCTACTCACGTTTGATTTCCAGCTTGGTCCCTGCACCGAACGTCCACCACAGTGAGAGCTCTCCATAGTCTTGTTGCACAAAAACCCTTCTCACCGAAGAGGAACAGAGCCCTGGGTTAGCTGCTGAAGTGCAACTCCCTTTTCTGGCAGGTGTGGAAGCCCTGGCTTCTCTGACATAGTGTATGTTTATTTTCTTCGGTGGGATCTAAAATTCAAGAGGAGAATATATTTATGTCTATGGCCTGATGGTTTCTTTCTTTAGCAATTTGCCACATCTGAACTGCTTATTATTTATTTATTTGTTAGAAAGTAAACTGAGTGTAAATTACAAAGAAAAACAAGCAATTAAAAAATGGCCACTTTTTTGTGCTTTCTTTTAGGGTGGTCTGGGGAGCCTTTGCAAAGGATAAACTTCATTTAGTGTAATTATGGAAATCATCAGCTTCTCAGTGAGTAATAATTAAAGTTTGCCTTACTGTTTTAACTTCTCCTTTCCTGCAATGTTATTTTGAAAAAGGTAGACTAAATATATATCAAATTAAGGCTCATAACTTTGAAATGCATTTTGAAATGTAGCTATGGATGACATATGAAACCAAAGTGAAGATTAATAGAGTAGAAACGTAGACTTTACTTGGTTGGTTTGTCTGTTGTCACAGCACATGTAGAGCTCAGCTCTTCCTGAGCTGAAACAGGTGCAGGCCGTCTTTGGAGCTGTCATGGAGTCCCAGTGTTCCGTAGTGGAACACATATGAGGTTCATAGTAACCTCATCAAGAACACTGAAGACCTTTTCAGCGTTTTCATTTGAGTCCAGCTCTCCATTTTTGCAGTCTTGTATCACTCTTAACTGTCCATCTCCACCCCTTCTATACATTACTCCCACCTCTCTCAACTCCTTACGGTTTTCCATGGCATCCAGCTTTCACAAACACTCCCTCTGCTTGGGAACACCTTTGTCCACCTGGATTGGTCTGTGAACTGCTAACTGTCTTTCAAGATTCAACTGAAGGGGGACCTTCTCTCAGATTATCCCTGAGCAGGTGACCTGAATTTACAGAGCACAGAGACGGGTCACTGGGCCTAGAATGCTTACTTATTTTTAATCTGCTTTCAGTTCTTTTCTATCCTACTAAATTATAAGCTATTGGGTGTTTTATTTGTCCTGTATTTGGGAGGCTCAGTCCAATATATTTATTTAGCAAATGCTTAACAAATGTTTTCAGAATGAATTAAAAAAACAATAAATAATTGAAAATCGATAATAGAGATGCATCATAGACTAAAGACTAATACTGACCGCTACAATAGTAAGTTTTACAACAGAAATCATGACTGTAATTCTGAAGATTAAAGATAGGTTTATTTGATTCTGTCACTTGCAGCTTTGCTAGTTGCCTTGCAGAATCAGCAATTGGTCTTAACAGAAGACGAGGGATGAGAGGGACCAAGTTAGAGGCGGAGAGAAAACATTGGCAAGTGAGATTTAAATGTGCTGACCTAGCTGACCAAGGGCATAGTTCTTTTTTTTTTTTTAAAGGGAATATAAAGTGATTTTCTCTGCAGACATACAAGCAATGCCAATCATAAAGGGTGACATTTATTGAGCACTTACTAAGTGCCAGACATTGTACATGGATCATCACATTTAATAATTCCCAAGACTCTATGAACTAGGAACTAATATTATCCCCTACTTTGTAGGTGCAAAAACTTGAGGGCAGAGAGGTCAAGGAACTGGCTTAAGGCAGTAAGTGGCAGAGCTGGGACCTAAACTCAGAGCCCATGTACTTAACTGCACCATACACAGATTATACTCCAGGAGTGAAGTTACCCAATGGAAGTAGCAAGCATGGCAGGGAATACTGGGTTGGGGGAAGGTAAAAGAAACTCCTTAGACTGGGATAAGTGTGCCCGAAGGTATGTATATAAAGACTATGCATGGAAATATTGTTTAAAATGTGAAAAACTGAAAAATAACTAAAATCCTCATTAATAGGAGTTTGGTTAAACTATGATAGAGCTTTACAATGTAGCACAAAGCAGACAATAAGAGGAAGATGTAGGTTTCTATATCAGGCGTCCCCAAACTTTTTACACAGGGGGTCAGTTCACCATCCCTCCATCCCTCAGACCATTGGAGGGCCGCCACATACTGTGCTCCTCTCACTGACCACCAATGAAAGAGGTGCCCCTTCCTGAAGTGCGGCGGGGGGCTGGATAAATGGCCTCAGGGGGCCGCATGTGGCCCGTGGGCCGTAGTTTGGGGACGCCTGTTCTATATAGTTATGTGGAAGGTGTTTGTGAAAATGCAGCTCACTGAAGAGTATGTGTGGTGAGATATCATGATTCCATCTAAATTGGTTATATTTGCATATAGATGCAGGCTGATTTTTAAAGGACACATAAATTGTTCTTGGTAGTTATCTCCTGGGACTGCAGAGGAGGAACAATGACACTTTCTCTTCCTATTCTTCTATAGATCAGAGATTATTGGATTTTAAAATGGTTATGTGAATATATTCATTTTATAGTTTTTAGAAATAATAAAACTACTATTTTGAAAAAAAAGTAAACTCTGCCATTGCTTAGTAGCATTCTCAATATTCCTGTGCAACGCATAAACATAACTTTTTAAATGATATGTACATATACGTGTGATTTTTCTTCATCCAGTACTTTTCTGTAGTCTTTAAATCAAGGCAAAAGCTTTCCTGATTTAGTGTAGGGGAGAGTCTTCTGCAAATCAAGGAGATGTAGGGGATAGAAACGGGAATGAAAAAGATGCGCCAGCTGTTGGAGGGATTTGTGTTCCTAAGTGAGCTAATTGGAAATCTAGTATGAACAGTGCAACCGCATAACTATCATAAAGCAGTATTTTTAACCAACCAAAGATGATTATCCTAAGTACCATTGTGGCAAAAACTATTTTACTGATCACATGCAGTGGTGATCTATAGGAATGATGGTTGTGATATTTGCTGTAACGTAAAATGAATCATGAGAAGTGTTTGAGATCCTTGGGATATGCGTGGTTCGTTTTTTGAAAGCAAATGGTGTCTCAGAAGCATCTGTGAGGCTCTTCCAGGATCTACCATTCTGCAAAGTATCTATGATGGACATCGATAAGCTTAATTTATTGAGGAAAGGCAAAGTGTCAGTAAGATGGTCTGAGAGATTCCTGGATTTCATGTATGAGTGATGGAAATACAATTTCTTGAGGAGCATTCCAACCAACTCATCACCGAAGCTGCTTTACATTGAACCCTCAGCAAAGTCAGATTATCAGAAAAAAAATTCTGAACTGCTGTGGAGGGGAGAAGAAGGAAAGGCATGGAGGGAGGGAGGCAAGGAGCAGAGAGAGAGAAAGGGAGAGAGAGAGAGCACGAGTATACATTTCAGTGCACATCTACAAATCATCTTGAACACTACTGATAAGCTATTTTAGCAATGTTCTTTAGGTGTAACATTTCAAGAAACATCCTTTTTCCTTTTTATTTGAGATAATTACCAGCCAATTTAGGAAGTTCCCCTCACATTATTAACATATAGTAAATCACCCAGTATGTCAGGGGACACAATGGCATAATATTGCCTTTTGCAAGGTTTGAGGGATGGCAGTTTCCCTACCTGACTTGGGAGTATCTGTAGCTGATATCCATCTTCAGGTCTGTGGTTCTTCCTCTCTATATATGTATTGGAGCTCAGCAGTCATGATGGAGTCCAGAGCAGGTGATTCTTTTTG